GGTTCAGCTTCTCGTCTACGGATTCCATTAAAATTGGGTAAGGACGCCCAAAACGCTTCACGAAAGCGCAGATGTTTAATGGTGGTTCTAGATAAGGAGTGAAGCACTCTCAAACCGTAGTCAAGGCTGACGCTCTCGGCGCTGGTTTGAGGTTAGGCCCAGTTAATCCTGCAGAATATAATAGCCCCTTCATAAGTTCCGATGCGTTGCTTGCCCTTTTGGTTTTAAAGCTTAAGCGCATTTTAAGTGAGATCAATAAAGTTTATAACTGGAATAGTTAGGAGCCTTAGGCTGAAACTAAGCGTCAGCTAAAGTCTGAATCACAGCCTGGTAGCAACCCGTTATTAAGCTTTCCTCTTGGACTTCATTTTTTATATGGTTGTAACTCATCTTTCTTCTTTTTCCCCTACCAAAGAGTTTATTATAATACATGTTTTAAGAGAGTGCTCTGTAAAAGTGAACTCACTAACACTTTATTTACCTTCTTCACTTACTTCCTGTGACAATTCTAAGATCTCCGAACTTTTAAAACATGGAACACATGTCAGCAAGCAGCTTTATGAGATTTTATTTCGATTGTTTTGGTCTGTGGGACATTACTTTTTGTCTCTACTTCATATCTGCTTTATGGATTCTCACCTACTCACACATGTATTTCCATTTCCATACTATAAAAGTAAATGAACTTATCCTTGCTAATGAAAACAAAGGATGAGAGGACAGGAAAAAAGAAAGACGGCATCACCTTTAAAACAATAATTGGTCCACAAACATTTCAGCTTGCACTACTATTTAGACTAGCAAAGGGTCTGGAAAGACAAGCAGGAAGCCAAACTGTGATATTCTGCTGTCACAGTGCTCTCCAGAAGACCTTTTTTAAAGAATGTCCTTTTACATGCTAACCAAGTGGTGAGATGGACCATCTCTGAGCCACCACCATCAAAGTCAGATTTACCTTAAATTACAAATCTTCTTACACTACTGCTGCTCAGACAAGCTAATTATCTGAATTTTTAACCACAGTTTGGCATAGCAGTTGTACTTGCATGACGCTGTAGCTACTCCGCTAGTTGCACGGAAGCTAGCTAAATTAAAGCAAATCAGATATATCCATCAAAGCTGCAATAAGTGAAAGGGAAATATATGATTAAGTCATAAACTGGTAAGTTCCTTAGATGCTCCGCGCTACAGTTACTGAAAAATTAAAATAACTCTCCAGCAGAGAAACAGACTGAAGAATTTGGTGCAGGAATAACTTAAAATATATAGGTACGAATTCAGTTTACTTTAGTATACTTCATAAAGACTATAATTTACATAAATAACTGTGGAAAAAGGCAGATCTCAACTCTATAGCCTAGTGATTAGGGCTCATCTGCAAGTAGAAGGCAATTGTTCATCCAGGTCTTGGTCTCTCTCTCTCTCTTCCACAGTAATTGTTACAACCACTGATCATAATTTAACCATAATATTAAGAGTGGGCTCCACTGCCACCCAGAACTTGGAATATTTTAAAAGAAAGCCGTCACAATTACATTTGAGGAAATGGTAGGTGTACAGATACAGAAGAGTGTCAAGACACTCTTAAATTAAGCTCTACAAGGGATAGAGGTGTTTCTCTGCCTGGCGTTGGAAACCTGATCCGGCTGAAGTGCTAAGCTGTTCATGCTAGTACAGGAACAGATTTCTAAGTGAGTAGAGAATTTTAAAATGTAGGAAATATTTTTAGATTTCAATATTAGATATAACAGTCCTCAGCTGAACTTAAATCCAGCCTTAATCATTGAGACTTTCTCCTAGATTTAACTTTACATCTGTAGAGGAAAAGCAGGTGAAAAAAGCTGGGATTCAATGAAGAAAATGTAAGAGGGAGATAGATAATATGACACTGATAGGGAAGGCAGAGTTAGAATAAAAATCGGGGTAGAAGATGAGAAGCTTGAGAGTTACATAGAACCAGTATTATTACAGATAACGAGTTTGTTGCATGCTAGATTTTCTCTGAGTGTTTTTCATTCCAGAGGTTATTTTTCTAATTCAAAGATAGTTCAATATCTAAATAATCTATGTGTTTATATTTAATGTCTTATTAATTCAAAGGTAAGGTATTACATGTTGTGCAATTTTTGAATCCATGCATTTACTTTATAGCACTTAAACAAGCTTCTTAGCTATAAAGAAATCTTTGAGAGATTTGATTTGCCAGATTCCGATGGAGATAAGGATTAATGTTTGTACAATAGCCCACCACAAAATATTGCTGTTGGTTTGTTCACTTATCTTTCGAAAGTTTTCTTCACGTTCCTGATGAAGAGAGGAAAAGTATACTTATTAGTTTTCAGCATCCACATATTTCATGCTGCTAACCTGGTAACTAGACATCCATCCCTCCTCTGTATGGTAGCGAACAAACACTCTTTTCATAATGATAAAAATTAAAGTTTATTCTTCTTATCCATAAGGTTGTCAGATCTGCAAATCAAAACTGAGAAGCAAACACACCTGAAGCAAAATTGCGAGCAGAAGTTTCCTGTGCTCTCAAAATATATTCTGTGTTAAATATGTTCCATTAGCACCTAGGACGTTTCAGGCTTACAGTCAGTTCCATATTGCATTCAAGGAGAAAACTCAAGTGCCAACCAGGTCCTTTTTGCACCCAAATTTCTTTCCTCAGGAGCCAGTTTATACATTTTAAACACATGACTGCACACATATCTATAGAAAGTGAGGACAATTGAGTACTCTTGTTTGAAGGAGAGCTTTTTTTCTAACTGCAGGGAGAGATATAGATGCACACTCTATCATTTCCTTACCCACTCCAGTAAGGTTTATGCACATAGCCAGCATGGAAATAACAGCTGACAACATCACCAACAACGGTACCAATCACCTACTCAGCTGCTGTTATTGGCTCTGACCAAGAAAACTATATTTATAAATTCCTGTTTTAAAGTAACATATATTTTTATAAGCATAAGTTCACAGTAATTAATTAGTTTTTATATTCTTTTCCTTTACAGCATAAATACATTTTGCAAGCTAATGTGGGTTATTTTGGTCAAATATTAATATATTTTTAATGAATTAATTAAAAAACCTGCAATTAAATAATAAGCCTTATAATACTTTATAAAATAAAAAACCGTCAGCACAATTTTTTCTTAATATTTCAGTTAGGTGACATACGTACTCTTTCATAGTTTTGTTCTTTGGATATGTGTTGAATTTGCTCAATTAGATGCTCCATTCTGAAATTCACTTCATTCACTTTGTCTTTGGCTTGAGCAATAGCTTCATCCAGAAAATGTTCTCCAACTCTAATGTCCAAATGGATACGCTGTGAACATAAAAAATATTCTCATGACTGTGTATCTTCTGTGTTTTCCTTAGAAAAAAATAAATAAAATACAATTTCCATTTAAGCTTACTATAGGAAAATGATTTAATTTACCTATAGAAATCCTTACTAAAATTAGAAGCAGCTGTGATATTTACAGTATTTCTTAACTTTATTTTAAAATTAATTATAAAAATTTAAAATCTTCACTAATGCTAGGGCATTGTTTTATACTTATATTGGTTCAAAAAGTATGAAAATATTTTCTATTCTTTGTCCAGACTAGTAAAAAAAAGGAAAATTATTAGGACTGCTCATTGCATTTCACATTCCATCCCAATATTGCAGAAATGGCATTCTTCGATAGCACTGCAGGAATCTTTTAATAAATGTGCTTGTAGGTTTCCTCTGCCTAAAGTTAGGAATATAAGGCTGGAAGGAGACCAGCTGAATAATTAATTGCAGTGTTCTCATAGATATTTAAGCAGAACAGTCCGTAAGGTATGAAGCATGAGGTACGAAATGCCTTCCAGTATCCTATTGCAATTGTAACATCTATAGCAAAAATGTCCCAAAACCTCAAGACTGTAGACCAAAGAAGAATGGGTGTTGCAATGTTATAAAACTGATTTGGGTATGAATAACAGTTTTTGCTAAAACTAAAAGGGGAAGTTACCCCAGAAGCCAGCTCATAACTAAGAGAAAATAAAAGTTTTAGCCCACCAGATAACCTACAAAAATCCTACAGCTTGGTATTGACAGAACAGAATTTTGTTCTACCAAACATCGACAACAGTTGGAGACAATGTCTCCTTTCAACTCTCTTTTAGAGTTAGTTGACTGAACATCCAGAACTTCCTGTCACAACCTTATGATAGCCTTTGTCCATGAATTTATTAAGCTTTGTTTTGAAGCAGTTTAGATGCCACCACTGCAGCTGGTTGTTCCAGAAGTCTGCTTGATTTAATTTAGTTTACAGAATGTTTTTCCTTTTCTGATTTTTATTCCTGCAGATATAATTGTGGAAAGCAATATTTTCCTTTTTAATTTTTGCATTGTTAAACTAAACAAACTGTGCTTTTAACGTTAACTATTAATCTTCTCCTTCTCTGCATTTCTGTAGATAGGATGACCAGAACTGTACATGGTATTCTAAATGGCATCTAGCCAATAACTTGTAAAACGGTATTAATACGTCACCATCTATAATAAATAAAAAACTCCTAATATATCCTCAGAATTACATTGATGACCAACCAATACAACTTTATCCCCCTTACCATCTCCAGTTGATGCAATCTAAAAAATTTTTATTAGTAGAACCTAAGTGCTTTTGCCATGTGTATGGTTAAATTTCAATTCATTTCCACTAGAACAACCCATTAGAACACCTAATTATTCCTATATAACAGTCCCTCTACAGTACAGTTAATACTTCTCAGTTCTGTCATCTACATGTTTCCAAAGCATGCATCTAGGATGAGATTTAACATAACTCACTTCACAGTCTTACAAGGTGTATACATCTAGCTAGTTATCCAACCCACTGAAAGAAAAAGTCAACACGAGAAAACAATTCTTCTCACCCATTTTAGTCAATTACCTTTTGAGAAGAGGCGTATAGATAACATTTTTAACACAGTGTTTATGAAACTGTTTGCTGAAATAGAAGTAGATTAGAGTCATGGTATCACCTTTGGTGGCCCTTTTTTTTCAAAATCTGCTTTAAGACCAGCTTTGTTGGCAATATCAGGAATGGTAATATGTTTTTAATTTGAATATCTTTCAAAAATTTTAATGCTAAATTTTCTGAAAGAATTCAATCAAAGATAGTGGAGCCATGGAATATGATGAGTAATTTTGCAGCAGTATTTGTCTTAGTCAATCTTATGTATCTATCTTTTTGAACCAAACGGCTGTTCTTATTGATCAGAATCTTTTCATATTCAAAGCACTGTACAAACATTAAATCAGTCTATAGTTATTAGACTTGCCTCCTTAATCTTGATTTCTTAGATATTAGAACAGAGTCTCTTTATCTCTTCATCTTCGTAGCTCTAGATTTATCTTCTTTAACCACTAGGAAATATATCTCCTAAAAGTTGAATCAACTTTGAATCGAATTTTTTAAACTCTGCAGTTTGTGTACAATAGATACTATTACGATGAAGAATAGTTAAGAAATACACTTACCAGTTTACTTCCTGCAAATGCCACAAGGCTTGTGGAGTTAGACTGTAAACAGATAACATGCTCCCCAGATATATAGGATGTAAAAGAAAATGTTGCTTGTGGCCCATACAGTTTTTTCAATAGTACCTGTAATTTATATATTATATATGTTGTGTATTTAATTTAAGTTCTGTGTATACCAACAAAATAATCAAAAAACAGTATTGTGTGTTTCATATAAAAATACTAAATTGATTAATCTGCTGAAAACAGTAAATTAGTTCGAATTTCAGAATAGATTTAGAGAATAATAATATGTTTAAGCTCACAGCACTGAAATGCTATGAATTTGTGGAATGGACAAAAGCCAATGTTCTCTAAAAAAAGGCATTTAAAATTTGAAAACGAAGACCTTGTTTAGACACAGAAATAAGTAGTCCATTGTTGAAAAAGCTCAGTACCTCATGCAGTGCAAGCAATTGCTATGGATGGCAGCTATATGTAGCCTCATGGTTTACTGTACTTTTGCAGCTTAATTTATTATGAGTCTCCCTTTCAGCTATGCAAATACTTTCTGTACCATTTTACTTCATTAGTGAATTTTCATTCCTTTTAAATCTAGTGTGTTTTCTCAATTGTATCTTAGTATTTTTAATGACATTGTTTCCTGAATCTAGCAGTAATGAAAAAGTGTTGCCAAAATTAAAAAAACAGAGGGAATAAAACACAAAAACCCTAGCTGATTAAAATAAAATTTCTAAGATCCCGCAAATAATTACCAGGCATTACCATTTGTATTTATTCTGATGGCAACCAGAAGGTGCTTATACATTTCAACACCAGAATATTTAATTAGCTGATATACTGTGATTTTATATTTTACAAAAAAAGTGTCCTTTTTTTTTCAGATAGTGTTACCTTCTAGTGCCAAAGGTCACTATATATAAGCCCTACAGAAACGTTCATGATAAGATGAGAATAATCAATGAGATTTACCTCAGCGGAAGGAGTTGTGACAGTCACAAACATTCCCAAACCAGGAGCAGACTCAAGAAAGTCTTGCTTACGTATATCCCACTGTTGTACTTTGTAATTCCCTGAATAAAAACATAGATACTCATCTTCTAAATACAAAATAGCTTAATAGTAAACATCTTTATTACATTTTGGCAAAAATATGAATATAAATGATTAATAGTAACACATGATAGATATTTCATAGACTTATGTCTAGAAATTACTCAGGGGGCATTTTATAACACAATGTGAAATGCAATGAAGTTTATACTATAATAGAAAATTTTCTAGTATGCTATAAAAATGGTTGATTAACAAATAATACTTTTTGATTACCCCTACTGCTCTGGCAAGATTAGCATCCAGAAGGTATGCTGAGACCTCCAAAAGAAGGTTTGGGTACTGTACCCAAACTGTGTTTTTAAGATTGTCTTTCACATAGACCCCAATATCTGTAAAAGCTGGTTGCATACTTATTTTGACTGTCCTCTATCAATCTTACCTTTCCAATACGGTAGAAATAATTCATTGGGTTTATAATATCCCGGGTGGAATAGAACTTTAATATGTCTTGAATTTCTTCTTCCCAGTCAGTGTTAAGCAAAAAAAGTACCTCTCCCATTCATATGGGAAAAACCATGCTGCAGAAATTCTAGTACGAATGATTAAATCAATTAGAGTGTATAAAATCATGTGTTGAAATAGCAGTTCTACTGCCATAAAATTAGAAGATAATCTTTTCCATCATCCAGTTAAGGATGCTAAAAACTTGTACTGCTAAGCTAGATTTGCCCGTGTAATACGCACACATAATGTGTGATGACACTCTGGCTAGCCCTGGCTGCAGGTGGTCCTCTTTCTTATCACCACCATTTTACCATACTCATCAGTCACAGATTTTCCTGTTACATTACAAGCTATTTTTATTGTTGCATACTTTAGATCGTCATAAAGCAATGACAGGTACCTACCAATTACCAAGGTGTCACTGGGAACGTCCTCGATTAAACATTTCTCTTCTCTTTCCCCACTATGAAAATACAAAGCAGGTGAGAAAGAAATCCAAAAGTTCATAAGAACTCCTATTAGTTGGCTTTTCATGATTTTGTGTATCCTAGTTGTACTGCTTTTGAGGATAACTATTTACAAATGTATATAGTCCTGTAGCTAGCTGTTCCTTGTTTGCTGCTTATCAATGTGCTTTTGAGAGAAAAAAAAAAGCTGTGAGAAAAGACAGCTGGTGGTTACACATTTAGAGATAACTACAGTATGTTCCACAGAATGAGATAGCGAGAACAAGATAATATGTAAAGTCTTTCTTCTTTCCTAACATCTGGATCAACATTTTATTCTATACATGGAGGATTATAGAACTGAAAAGGACCTCTTGGGTACTTGAGATCAGTCCCCTACATTCCTGTAAGCAACAACTTGGGCTGTCTCTTTCCATCAACTGCTCAAATTTAAATTTAAAAAGAATTTGTTCTTCTTGTATCTCACATTTGTCCTGGCTGGTTATTCCAGAGCTTCACTGCTCCCTGATTTAGAAATTTTGTAATTTCTAACTTAAAGTATTGGAAATAGTTATACCTATGCAAAAAACATACGAACTACATAAAAAGACTGAAAGAAATATGAAAAGGAAAGTCAAAGGAACCTGATTAATAAAATAATCTGAAACAGTAAGTGATATGATACAGTAGAAAAAAATACAATTAACATTTTATCTAAATAAGTTTTTTTTACATTAGAATGTCTTTTTCTTGGACGCTATATAACAAATTCTCTAAAGAAAGCTATAGTATTGTTCAAACAATGATTGAGATTTTACTATTGCCCTCTAGTATCACAAAGTCAATAATCTATATGCGTGATGACTGACGTAGTTAAAGCTCAACTGTTCCTTGTTCTTTAAACTGAGATACCTGTGTCTGAGCAGCTGGCCTCAGTGTGAGAGGATACATGATCATTTCCCAGTAGGGAAGACCCACCTTTGGGATCATTGCTGTACTCAGAAGCTCACTGCACTCCTGCCATAAGACTTCTGTCTCTCTACGATCTGATCTGATGGAGATTCTCTCCATCTCTGCCTCGTTCTCAGCAGCACCTGGCATTTTCAGATGAGATTGCTCAGTGTAGTCCTTGAACATGTCTGTGATGAAGCTCTCAGTTCACTTTAGAGTTTTTTCATCTTCCCTTTAAGATGGAGGATATAAACTGCCTGTACTTCACACACGCACACACACACAGAGTGCTGTAGACTGGGAAAACCATCTCCTTTGTGGACTTCTAGAAGCTGTTACTTGAAAAAATGGATAGGTAGTTGGATTTACTTCTGCGTTTTGCTTTTCTATGACTGTGACTTGCTCAGCTGCAAAAGTTGTGTCCTCAACACTACCTGCAGACCAAAGGATCATGACTGGCCCTTTCCCCTTACTGCTCAACATCTTCTCTGTTTCCGTCTTTCATAAAATGTCTCATTTGCATTATTGTATTATAACCATGAATTTATTAGTCAGATACTGTAACTCAGGATCACCTGATAAAATTCTCACTGATGGCAGTTTATAACTCCCTTTCTGTGAGATTAGTTTATATATCTTCAGCAAACTCTACTGTAAGGTTTGAAAATATTTTCGTCAGTTGACTCTAAATACTGTGCACTTAACTTTTTACTAGGCAGGATGTTATATCTAGTGAAGTTTTAGAAAATAACTCAGTTTTTATTTAGTTGCATTTATGTTAGTAAAATAAAACCATATCCCTCTCCCTATGCACTTCTGAGCAGCCCTTCCGAGAACCTGAAGTTCTGCTAGTGCTAGTAGCCATAGAATTGGCTCTGTCATACTACAAGACCGTTTCTTTTCCTTGTATCAAGGAGGAAGGGTGGACAGTGACACATCCTCAATTTCTGGGACCTAAATACCTAAAATTTCAGGATAGTAGCTCTTACTGGATTATTGCATATCTGAAAATAAGAACTGATTCATGTTTATTGGCCTTCATTGCACCTGCTATCTATGCAGTTATCTCAGTAAAAATGGCTGGCCCAGGCTCACAGCAATCTCCAATTCAGTCCATTCCACAACACGAAGTATCTTCACTGAAGTTCTGGTACAAGTATTAGCTCACTTTGGGCAAAATATAATATACCTACACTGATAAAGAGACAGTCAAAGGCCAGGAGCCTTTGACGCTAACTCTTATCCTTGCAAACATTCGTGCTTATTAGTTACAGGTCACACCAGTCCCTTTTGTATCCTGATTTATCTACAAAGAATATCCTAGTTTTTCCCAATCAGTAAACACTAAGCTCCTTCTCTGGATGTCTGCAGGGAAGCCACAGCCCATAGGAAAGCACAAATGTAGACGTACCTTCAGTTGTCAGATGAGTTTTGATGTAGTCACAGCTAACTATCCTTAAATTTCTTTTAAGGCCCTGGACAATCTGTTCTCAGTAATCAGGTACCCTCTAACAATATGGGAATTGAATTTGGTATTCATAATTTTTGTAAGACCTCAGTTCAAGTCTGTGGTGACTTTTGCCACTACTCTTACTTTTAAAGGTGTCTTCTGTCACAGTCTTCTGCAACAGTATCTGCCCATATAGCTGATTTTTCCTACATAGTATTCTTACTAAAAAAGCATCTTTACAGATCCATTCTAAGTTTCTTCCCAAAGTGTTTTCTGAGATTAGTTTAACCCTGAAATTAATTTACCTGTTTCCTTCCTTAAATCTTATGCGTCGAGGACCGTAGCATCTTGTCTGCCAACGATCTGTAACACTGGATATAAGGGGAAACGGCTGGAAATAAGGGAAGGGCTCTTCTCTCAGATCAGCAAACAGGGAACTGACTAGATAAGAAACTTTTCCTTCAAGGAAGTTATTTATCACCAACTGGAGTTTCCTGAAATGTATTGGCCATTTGCATATTCACTTCCTTTTCCACCCTACCTCCACCTCTTACTCCTTCTCTCTCAGTGTCCTTTGGGGAATTTTTGGCTTCAGCAGTTTGAGTTAATACTGGGAATACCCTGGTATCAGTTCATATCTTATAGGACTGAGATCCTACATTCTGGACTTGTAAGCAATTGCAAACAAAGATGCTCTTCTTTGGAACCAAACCTTTACCTATTCCGGACATAGGAAGAAGTAAAACTCTAATTTAAAGAACTTTAAGGTTCTTCCAAGGATAGTTTGCAGCTGAGCAAAAGTTTGTATGTTTTTTTTTTTCCCCCCCTAAGTCATAATTTAGGCTTGCACCTGAATTTGGTTCCTACCATCAGCAAATGCTTAGATCTATACTTCAATATATGCTTATGTTTTCTGAGATGATTGTAATAAATAGTAAATAAGTTTAACAGAAAAGAAAACATAAAATGAGGAAAAAATTCTATTAAAAGAAGACAGAAAGAATGTAAAAAGTGGAGAAATTGACTAAACACAGTATATGGAAATGATAAAGAAATAACACTATTTCCCTAAAATAAGCACACATGAAAAATAATCAGCTGATAAAATGGACACAGGAGAACCTGCAGAAAAATAGATATATAAAAAGAGTAAGTCAAACATCAAACAACTCTGAAAAGCAGGCAACTGCAGAAATCTGAAGAATGCAAGACATGTAGAAATAATTACTAAAATTTCCTATACTTAGGTCTAACAATTGTACGCTCGTCAGTGTTTGTAAGACCAGCTTAGGCTAAGCTGATAAAAGTTTGAATTTCTTTAGGACTTTGCAAGATCTATCTCCTGTAAAAAAAAATATAGAGAACCGTTTAAATGCTTCTACCCTAAGAGAATACGCTGTGTACCTTTTAAGTGCGTAAAAAGCTTTCATATTTGACATATTTCAAAATGAACCTACTCAGCCCAAGATCTCTCATTCAATATCTATACTGTGTATTTGTAAAACTATAATATGCTACACTGAAAGCTTTGTTGGCTGACTGTATTTTCTACTTAACTTTCTTATTTTTAAATTCTTTTCATAGTTCGTAGCCAAGACTGTAAGTCACGTGATACTTTCTTTTCACAACTATGGATTGTTTGAGCATTACAACTTGCAGTCTGGAGCTGTTTCTGACATATTAGGTTTACTTATATTCATGTATACCACCTTAATTTCAGATTTTTAAACCTCAGTAAGTTTTCTCTGTACAAAGATTATGATGACACAAGTAGCAACAAACATGGACACATTTATTGCATATATAAAGAGAATGATATAATTTATGTTGTGGTCAACAGTGTTAACTTTCTAACAGTTATTTTTGAGACAGTTGTCCCATGAGGGACTCACACCAACCATGAGTCAGTTTTTAAACCACATCTAACACTTTAAGTTTAGAGTTTTCCTACTAGTATCCAAACTTCTGATTTCTGCTTGTAATTTTGCTGACTAAGTGTCCTTATGGTAGATATTTTGCTCAAATTTGAGAAGAACAAACCTTTGCTTGCATTCACAAAACTCATGACATGTTTCCTTCGTTATATTATTGTCACAACCATACTGCAAACATCTGGTAATGCTGAGTAATGTAAGTAGTTTCTGAAGTAATGCACATGTTAAACATGTATAGAAAGACAATAAATTATAATAAACATAATTTAGAGAAAAAAATTAAATTTCTAGGTATAAATAGCTTTAAATCAACAAACTATAGTATTTAATAAACATATTAGCTTAGATTTTATGATTGAAAGCTTTGTTGATACGTGTGAACGACAATCTTTCCAAATGTCTTCTTTTCTGCCACTAGAGGGTACTCCAAGAACTTACAGTATATAGAACAAGGATTTATTTGGGTTTTCTGGTCTGTAAATGATGGAGTACTGTTGTCATACTAAACCTTAGGAATTTAACCCCCTCAAAATCTTGAGATAAAACAACTTACAAAAACCAGTCTAATACACCTTTTCAGTAAAATAGTTCAGCATACCTGAATAGAAGGAACATTGACTGACAAGTATTTTAAATTTATTTAAACTTATCCTACTTTTAAATTATCTAAATTATTATTTATTCTTTATTTCAGACACAATTATCTGGTTCACATCCTGTTTCTTCATCCAGATTTGGACAGGGAGTTCCATTATTGGCAGGCTGAAGAAGTACAAAGCGAGTTCTGATCTTGGACCCTGTTTTTCCACAAGAACCTCTACAGAGACCCCATGAAGACCATTGTGAAACCTCACAGTCCAGTGGTGTTTCTGCAATATACACAATAAAAAGATAACTTTACAGAAATTTATGCTAAAGGCAAATACATAGTTGGCAAAGCATTAAGGAATGATGATCAAATAGTGTCCTTTCTTATACAAAAATAGGTGTGATATTAATAAAATTCATATGTTGTCTAATAAATAAAATGTCTGTTTTTGGCTCCTGAACTCATGGATATTGGTGTTATTATTATTGCAGTCTACAGAATCCTTGAGACACTAAATCAGTGAGTAGATATTATTTATTGAATTGAAATTGTAAAATTCACATCAAAGAAACCTGTGTTTGAAATGATTGCATTCAAATAACTGCATTGAAAAACATTTACTGTCAATGCAATAATTCATTTGCAATAATTCATTGCATGGCTTACTAAGAACATCAGAAGTAAAGCTTTTATCTGGTTTATTCATATAAACTTGGATTTCTTCCTAGATAGATATTGTTCCTATAGTTGCTCATATCAAATTGCATTTAACTCTTGTTCCAGTTCGCTTCACAAGTAAAGAAAATTTCTATTTTTTATCATTATATCTTGCTATTTTTTGACATGTACACTGCAGTTCTCATCACCAACAAACTTTTTAATACTGAAAGGGTTTTTAATGTACTTTTAATTTACTGCAACCAAACAAGTCAGAAACTCTAAAGTACTTTATATAATATATACTTCTATTGTAAATATCTCTCGTAAAAATACAGATGCTTATTCCTTAGCAGGTTAAATAACAATATTGCTTGTCAGAGGAAGTTGCTTCAATACTGTTCATTACAGCTTTTGGGGATAAAATAGCTGTGCACAAACCCAGCTCTAAATGGAGTACTCAATGTGTGACTTCTGGTATAAATTTCTGTCGCTACGCTTCCTCTTAAAATGGAACTAACCGCTTCTATTGTAGTCATTGGTTCTCATGCTTCTGGTGAGAATGAGGGACATGATTTGATCTCTGGTAACTGAATCTGTCCTTTTACCTCCGGAATAAGTTTTTGAATAGACTAATTTACTGGTTAACACGCAGTAAAGTGGGGATGCATGATTAGGAATGGTTTTTGAAATATCATAAATTAAATGCATTGCGTTAACTTTATATCCTAAACAGGGCCAAATGTTTCTTTCAAATGTTGTGGGAAAGGCTTATGACTGGAAATGAATTTGTAGCATTCACTTTGAAGATAAGTCTTGTTTACTAATAGAAATACATTAAAATGCCACAATATTATTGTATAAATTAATGTATAAATCATGTATAGTCTGTGTAGAGAAGGAGCTTTATTTTACTAATTGTGAAGTGACTTTAGCACAGAGCTATAGCCATGCAATCTTATTTCTGGGGAAGCTCTTCTTGGAATATGGCAGCCATTCCAGGAATACACTGGGGATTTAGCCAACTGCTCTCTCACACAGGATTTGGGATTTCATTCTTCTTATTCTTAACCCTTTCTCTTACATTTACATTTGCTTTATAAAAAAAACACTAGGCTCTTTCCCGCAGAGCAAAAGTAGTAGTTGTTGATGTGGAGATTTGAAAATTACACTTAAGATTGACTTGAGTTACTAGTTTGTACATCTTCCTACCTAAAAAACGTTATTTGCTAGCTTTATAAGGAAAAAGAGAACAATTTTTTTTTTTTTATGTGGGGATGTCTGTTGCTATCATAAATATGTCAAAGTCAATTAACTGATTTATTTCAACTCTTATTTCATCAAACCCTCTAACCCAGAACGAGACATGGCAAAAATCCATGGAGCAGTATTTGCTTCAAAATTCGCAAAGAATCTGAGGAACTCTGATTCTGATCAAGTATTGTTTATTTCTCATAAAAATCGCAGATCTAAACTGATACTAAGACTTGAATAACCCTCATTGTGGATCTAACCCTAACCTTTGGACCCTAGCCCTACATATGAAATTCATTCCTTATTGTTTCTTTCAGATACTCTCTTCTATGTCAACTGACTTGTTTTCTTTCCCATATATGAATCTGGAAATTATTTCTATGCTGATAAAATATTCTGTCTAACCAACTGTTTCATCGACATCACCTACCAGATTTCCACATATTTTCTGAATGAATGCTAAAGACAGAATTGGGTATATCAAAGTACAGATCACTTACCTGAGATAGGGTCTACTACTGTAAATAACAGAGTTGGGCATATCAAAGTACTAATCGCTTACCTGAGAGAGAGTCTACTATTTCATTGCTTTTAGCTGGCAGATTAAGATGAGGGACAGGAAGACCCAGCTGGTTTTTCTTTAATTTCACCATTGTTACTTGGGCAATAGGTGGCAAAATTTTGAGTTTGGGATAATAAAATGAGTTTGCTGGGTGGCTTGGAGAGGAGCAAGTGATCTGTGAATGAAAAAAGGAACCTTGAAGAAATTATATCATCATGTTAATAAAAAAAAATTAACATCACGTTTACACATTATGTCATACTTCTTGGCAAGTAAAATGCACCAGTCTACCAGTCTCTATGAACCCCAGCTGATAAAACTACTGCAGATAATTCCAAATCCTTTGTGCAAAATACTTTGGGAACTGGGCACAATGAATTGTGCCAACCTTTGGATGGAGGACTGAAGTGGGAGCTATTGAAAACTCAGAGTAATGTATGAAATGGTTTGAAAAGTGGATATTATTACGAGGTGGAAAATGCTAGAATTTACAAGAGTATTAAATGATACTATTAGCTATGCTAAAGCAGCTGTCATACGGATATAGAAGGTCAAATGTAGTTGGTTTCAGTTTCTCCGTTTTTTCTCATTACTCATTAATATAGCATGTGGCTATAGAAAAGCTGACTTTAAACATGAGAAAGCATTGTCTGAATGCTTATAGTACTAAAACCCTTTGAGTCAAGATGCTCTGTTTCCTACCACTTTTAAATGACAAAAGCAAAGTATGAGGAATACAGACCATAGAGTGAGAAAAAGAGATTGAAAGTGGGGCACTGCTATAGCAGCAAAAAGTTCTCCTCTGCTTCCCCTTGGCTCCCTTCCCTCAAATCTAAGTTTCAGGTTTCAGCAATTTTTTTTACTGAAAACTCTCACCCCACATCAGTACGTACAACAAATCTCTACTCTCTACTTTTCTATGAGATTTCCCATGTATTTACGTATTTAGTCCTGATAGGATTTTTGTGAATATTTTGATTTTCTTATTGCTTTAAGAGCCATTAAAAATCATCTCAAAATACTCATAGTTTATGTTAATTGTTTTTAAATGTAGGCCGAATTTTCATGATCCATTTAAATTTACCTAAATGAATTTGAAAAATATAGAAAATAAATAAAAGCAGTAGAGTTATCAGCTATGTAGCAAATCATTATCTAGCATTAGCACTCCCAAATACTAAAATTGATTTTGCAAGAAAGAGAGTCTAATGTGTAATTATAAAATAGCTAATTTCTTAAAGGGAAGGCTTAAAGTGCATAGTGTGATGTGATAAACCATGCACATGCACCTACCTCTTTTACTGTGTCCTGTGGAATAGTGGCAAAATTTGGGGAGGAAAACGTGAAACCACTGTCAGTTCCAGCATCATATGGAAACAGATCTATCGATAATTCTTCCATCCAGTGGTCTCCTTTACAGAGATTTAGGCTGTCAATACCCACAAACCAGTCGGGGCTTGGCACAATTCGAACAACAAATGAAACCTAATGAAACAGGATAATCCATCAGGATTTCATCACTTATTTTGAAATGTTCCGGTCATATTTGTAATAATTTTATTTTAGAATTTAAGAGGAATGCTATCTTTCCTACTTTATAAAAACTGTACAGAGCTCCTTGCATTTTGGCAGACTTTTTTTTTTGGTAACATAGTTGCATTATACTGTTCTTACCAGTGAGAATTCCAATATTTAATTTTGTCTGCTAGTGATATGAAATAAAGCTTTAAAATCAATATGTTAATTACTTACTAAAGGATGTCTTGAATGCACTTCTAGTTCAGTGGAAGTTTGTCCTGTACCACTGGAAATGGCAGGAGCAGAGAAGATTCCATGTACACTTTGAATTTTCTCTCCAGCTTCTTCTATTTCCTTCATTAATACCCATGCTTCACCCTTTTCAGCAAAATCACGAACACCATTGCTGGCATATTCATTTTTTTTCCACATGCTGTAGTCAGAACTATGAGTAACACCTATTTGAGTGAATACATTGCATGACATAAAAGTCTGTTTTAGATTGTCCTTTTTTCTTCAACTTCTCTGTTTTATTTCTGAGGTTAAAAAAAATTGCGTATAAAAATGAGTGGACACTAAAACATTCAATTTATCACTGCTTATTTCAGCTGTAGCCAATTGAAAACAGAAGTCAATTGAAAACAGTTGTAGATTTTGAAAAGCATTGCAGATACTGCAATTTCTGCATTTTGCTCCTAGTATCTCTGGCTATTTTCTTTCTTTCCTTTTTTTGCATTAATTGGCTTAAAATTGAATATTAAAAAGAAAAAAGGATCAGAGTAGTCAAGAGATTTGTCTCTTCTTAAAACTGTACGTACTTCACTTACCTAGCATTGATGACCACTGTGCTGGGGGCCTATAAAGTGGATACTGCTTAGGGAAAGCAGTCTGACTCCATTTCCCTGTAAAGATTATGCTGTACTTAGCAAGTTCTTCTGCTGTGCAAATAGAATCATCACCCACAGGCAAGCTGCTGGCATAACCTAGAATTGTTATAAGCAATGTCCAGGTAACTTTACAGGAGCAGTAGACAAACATCAGGTTTTCCATTCCCTTCCACATGAAAAGAAAAAAAGATTGTTAGCCATATTAGTCACCCTAAACTCAAAACTGAATAACGGCTACCTAATAAAATGTAACCTAGGATAAGTTATAACAAAAAGAAAGCACATATCCAAGACACTAAAAATCATTATGCTTCTAAAAACATTATTATAATGCTTCCAGATTTGATATTTCCATGCTATATGCAACAAATCTGTAACTCTACCTAGGACAAGTGTTTTTAATGAAAATAAAAATATCATAACCTTGTTCATAGTACTACCTCTGAGAAAATCTGTTTCTGATTTTCTTTTGAAATCTTATTAGAGTCACATCTTGAATTAATTAGAGTAGCAACTGTTTCTGTGGAAAACATTAGTGGTATATTTATTCTTCTAAAGATTAAATTGCAGGTTACTTTGCCAAAAGAAATGATTTATTTTAAATTTGTGTTCTGAAAAGGCTGTTTTATGGAATAACATTTAAAGTCAAATGCATTTCAAATTTATATAAATTACTTAGCTGTCATAACTTATGCATTTAAAAATACATTATAATTGCTTCAGATTGTTAAACTTAAACATTTCTTAAAAATAATATTTTTAAAAAGCTACTGTCATAGGCTGTGCAAATTTTGTTTTTAAATTAATATAGTAATTGCATCAGACTCTTGAACTCAAGCAATTGTTTAAAATAGCAGCCTAAAAAAGTTACTTTAAAATGCTTTTGTCCTTTGAGAAAACGATACAAATGTAACTGCAATGCTAATAATATATAAATTTGTTTAAAAAGCTGTAAATACTCACTAAATATTTCCTCTGGAGCACTGGTAGGGGGAGAGCACCTGCTTTTGCTGGCAGCTGAGCTGGTCTGCGAGAGAAGACAGTAGGAGTCTTGCTATTTATGCCTGAAGAGGGTCCCTTTGGTCCAACAATTATTGTAATCTTTAGACTTTCCAGGTTTGCACAAAGCATGCCATCTTCTTGCTTGCAATCTTTTTGGATGGGCTATCAGAGGTTTCCTGTATGTCAACTGGTTCAGGTTCCTATCAGAAGACTGTGATGCCGAATAGGCAAAATGCTTTAAAAAATACTTTAAATTCTTACTAACATTCGAGTTTTCTGGTGACCGTACAGTTTTCTGTTCTTATTAATGCCTCTAAGCTATACAAATGAACTGATTCCAGCACTGAAATAGTTCTAGTGAATACGCTTTAAATGAGAAGCATGTTTTCTTGTAAGCTTTATTGTCTGACAGATGCTCCTTCCAAACATTTACAGAGAGCTTGCTCACTCTCACACACCATATGTATGTGTTCAAATAAAAGGGGTGAGGCAGCTAAAAAAGTCAGAGGGAAAAAAGTTACATTTCATAATTGCATATACTCACACAGACTGTGTCTCCTGCAAATATGAATTAATTTAAAGTAGTACAGTGTATATTTTTGTGTTCTTCACTACCGTATGCTGGATGATGAAAGGGCTCTGTAACACTGTGGTTTCTTTGTTTTCTTAGCTGTCCTCAGAGTAAAAACCCCAAATAAAAATCTTATTATTACAGTTAAATCATACATCCTCTGTGACACAGTACGTATACTTACTTCACTCACTAAAATTATCTGTGAAAAATTGTGCATAATACAATGACACAATTAAGAAATATTTAATATTTATTTTAGATTCTTTTTTCCCACCACCTTTTAAAATGCCCACAGGGAAAATAAGGGCTTTGTGCCATCCCTGTAAGGTTAACAAATACTATTGTGGCTGATCAACAAAGGAAGTAAGTTCAAAAGTTTACCATGCACCATGAGGAAAGTCTTGCATGGAGTCTTCTTGTGAGGGGTATCACTTAACTACTTCCACAGATCTCAAATAGGATGGGAAAAAACAATTACTGCTCAAATGAAATTCCCAGACTATCATAGCTTAAATGATGTGAGCTTTCCTCCAGAAGGGGTTTACAAATCAACCAGTCTGAATTTTATGGCCCTGTAACTGGAAACTTATTCCCCCTTTTTGCCTCTTCTTCCCCCACAACCCTCCACCCAGTAGATCAACAGGAAAAGTCCAGAGAAGAATAAACTGAGATGTCTGAATGGCATTTCCATTGATTATTCTCCTGGCAAAATGGAATCTGTAGCAACTTTCAGCGTAGATGGATTCAGCACCCAATATCCACAATTCCTTTATCTCTGGATAGATTTTAGGAATTTCATAATAGGTTACGCTCTCTAGATATGGACATGCCCTTTATTTCTAAGGCCTCTTCCTTCATCCTGTGTTCCTGTCACTGAAAATATCCATATTTTCCATAATTTATTTCTGTTCCAGGAGCCAGACGCCCCTAAAAAAGTCCACTGGCTGCTTTGGATACTTTTGGATACCACTGTAGTGGTACAATGCATAATTTCAAACCAGTTCTTCACAGTGTTTGTTGCAGGATGCTATGTGAATTATATCCAGTTCCCTTCCTCCTATGCAAAGAATTCCAGATCCACGCATGTTTTCTTAAAGAATTCAGTTTACTTCTATCAGAAGTGGGTGATCTTTCCATCCCATGCAGCCCTCTGGAAGAACTATACAAAGGTCCCATGAGTATTCAAGTATATTGCATGTAGCACTGTTAAAATATAAAGGCTTAAGGGTATTACTAAGTCAGAGTTTTAGCTTTAAACTTCAGTCAGTGTTGTTATAAATATCTTTATTATCACTATTACCGAACCAGCTAATCTCACACAACGAAACTGTGAAGAATCCAGGAAGACACTTAAAATGAGAGCAAAGTGATTAGCTCGGGATCCAGGACAAAATTTACTTAGTATGTTAGATCTTTCTCCTGTTGAAGAAAAATTGCTGCCAAAAGAAACCTCACCAGACTAGATAGTTCTAGTTCCATGACTACATGTTATGAATTTATCCAGGACCAGGACAATACATGCAGCCTGGATAATTTGGCTTAGATATTATAAGAAAAACTAAATGATAAAAGATACTGACTCATTGGAAGTGATTAACTTGGGAATTTATTTCAGGTTTTTAAGCATAGATTAGAGAAATAAATATCAAGAATAGCAAAAGTTATAGTTGATTCTGCCTTGGAATATTAGTGTATAATCTTCTGAGATCTTGAACTTGAGGACTCCCCGAACTTATTTCTTTAAATAGAAACTGTGCTACGCATAATCAGTCCCTGTCATTGTGAAGGACATCAAAACCAAATTTAATATCTCACGGTTGGGGGGGAAAACAAACAGATTTCCACTCAATGAATTACTTTCATGGCTGGGAAGCCAAATTTCTGGGATGCCAAATTTCTGTGGGCCAGCAGTCAGAGAAAAAACTGCTGTGGGATCAGAACATATGCTTGCATTCCTTCTTCAGTTTGTATGTCCCATTAAAAAGCAGTTGAATACTCGTGGAAAACTAGAAGAAGATATTCCATTTAGAAACCATTTTCCATATGTATAAAATTGGAGGTTTTTTCTTCCCTCTTTTACAGCAAAATAGCTTTTGTTTTTCAAGTCTATGTCTCTTCAGGTACACCTATTTTCCATCCACATTCATACCTGTATAGATCCTAAATGCTTGAAGGATTATGCATTAAGACTTATTTCACTTAAGCTTCAGCACTTTTACTTGTGCCTGTGTGCAATTTTTTCTGCTTTTTGTCAATAAGACAACAGTTTTGCAGTTCCTGCAGGTCTCCCCAAGATTCACAGGCTGAAAGTTGGAAAGTATAAAACAAAAATGGTGTGCAAATATTTTTATTTTTAAATTAAAATTTTTTAAATTAACCATATCTAAAGTATTGTTATTTTTACTAACTTAATTAAGAAAAGAAGAAAACAAGAAAAAATGTACTTATCAGTATGGTCATATCATACTGATCCTTGAAATCATATGCACCGTATGAAAACATTTATATGAACATTTTTTGGCCATCACTTATACAGGAGCATAGCACATTAAAATGGTGTAAATTCTGTTCTAATTAAGCAGAGAATAATTTAGCCCTTTCTCTGGTAAGCAACAAGACTGACATGTTTAGTTATGACTTTTCTTTTAAACTGTAAGATTAAGAGAAAGGAGATTTAACTAAAATGACCAGTCTGAAGTTAGCTTGCCCACCTTAATTCAAAACAGGAGCTCCAGAAATCATTTTGTGTTCATTTTTCTATATATTCGTGAACTATTAGCACACATTAAAATTTTACTAAAACGACCTCCATTTTTCTGGTAAGGAGTATATGTGCAACTCTGAATATGCACAAGCTGTTTAATATACTTATAAATAGCTAGCATCTCTTTGTCTACCAAGAAAAACATAACATTGTATTACTTAAGAAGGATTATGCACTCATACTTTCTCTCTTGTAGTTACCATGGATACACATACTGTTATGGACACTCAACAATGCCAAAAGGTTGTGAGCTTTAAGTCGTAAAACCTCAGCAAGCAGAAGAATGTTTTATCATGGAGAAACTGTGGTGTTGTATTGGAAGCTTGTTACAAAATGCAGCATTTGCAAAGGAGAATGAAGCATTCCCAACAGTACATGGTACAACAGTAATGAAGGCAACTTTAAATCTCAACTTATCCTTTGAGATAAGGATTTCATGTGCAGATTAAGATACCTAAATCGAATGTCTGCTTATGAACTAGGCATCTAAACTGCCACTATACATAAAGTCGGTCTAGTCATTACAGTCAATCGAATCTAAAGAGGTATTCAGCTCACCATTGAATACATACCTGCATTTGGCCAAACAAATAACTGTCGAGTAGCTGTCTAGTCTCCACTATCTGTATTGATAAAGCCTCCACTGACTAGACATCTAACTCACATATAGACATCTACATTCACATAAAAAGGCATATTCACACATATTCAGGCATCTTACTCATTTCCTTCAATATATGTTCTCATTTATGACTATAAAGGAGATTCTTCCTACTAGCAGTAAACTGCAAATTCACTCTCTACTTTGGGTCAAGAAATTATCTTTGTAAGTTTTTTAAAAAAATCAGGGCTAATTGAGAATTCAAACCAAAAAAGAAGGAAAACACAGCTTTATTGACCACAATGGCACGATCAGAAGCAAAGAACTCCAGCACTCTTCTGCCTTCTGTATTTAGGACACTTCTAGTTCCGAAAAACCTCATATGTAGGCCGGTGCTAGATTACCATATCAAGGTCACCTATGACAGTGACTAGAGACAAACATCTCTTTGGGCTTGTTCTCTGCATAGAGCTTTGTTTTACCCAATCTGCGCAGCAACAACAAGCATACCATCTTCTCTATTTTCCAAAAGAATTTGTAATAAGAGCCTGGAGCAGGAATTTATGACATTTCTTTACCCAGCCAGGGGTCTGTGGAATTGGAAAAGCCAATTCTTCCACATTATTCCTCTTAGTGACAGTTGAGACTTTAAGGGCAAAGGCAGCTTTCACAGTATCGCTGCTGATCTATGGAACGATCGTTCCATACCTATCCTCCTTTCAACACAGCTGTTCTTAGTTCTGGTCAGTATCATCAAAACCATCTCAGTCACAGTACCTCCGCATTTCATAGATAATGGTATTACCTATAAAAACATGAAAATGAAGCTATCTGGTAACGTTCAAATAACATCTGGACTGCTATCAGTACATTTGTTATGTTAGCTAGTTAAGAGGAAATTCTTCATTCTGCCAGTAAGATCATTAGAGTTTCCCTGGATACTAACCCTGCAGCTTCAGCTTAAGGCAATGTACTATGGTGTCCTTCTTTGGGAGGCAGATCGCATCATTTAGGCCATGAGAACTTTAATCCAATTTAAATCTGCTCCCTCCGAATTAGAAAATCCTGCACTTTTCTGCATCCCAA